AAAAAAAAAAAAAACCACCAAAAAATCACTTTTGAAGACACCCAGAGAGAGCTGGGTCACCTCCACATGGGAATGGGGACAGCAGATGGATTTCCTGACAATGAAAGATGCAAGAGAAAATGGAGAATTAATGTCTCTCAGTGCTGGGTGCAGCATAATTCTCCCTAAAAGCCCAACCAGGCAGAGATTTTTACACTGCTCAGGTGAAAGAACTCGAAAATATCACTAAAACTCACAGAGGTTTGCAACAAAACTCCTTAGATCTGTTTTTATTCCACACAAATAAAAGCCAGGCGGCCAAATTAATCCTAATTAAGCTGATTAGGTTTATTGCAGGGCTAAGAATCATTCACTGGTAACACAAGAGGTTTTTTCCCCCTTTCTCCAAAGAGAATTCCCTTTGTGCATCTGCTTTTAACACCACCCTGATGAGAGCACATCCCAATATAATTCCATTATGCCTGGGAGAGGTTTCATCCATCCCCTGAAATTCAGGGAATGAATACAAAACCATGCACATTATGTACTCTCTGCAGGGATATTTCAAGCTTTTCCCCTCCAAGTAAATCAGTTTTATGTCATTAAAGCCCTTGAAAATATCAAGCTGCAATGCTTTGCTCCCAGAACTTCGTTTCCTCTCAATTTCTTGTGACTTTGGGGAAGGCAGGTCACAGAATTTGGCATTTCCCACTTCAGCTCAGCCCTGCAGCCAAACTCTGGTGCCTCAGTTTCCCTCAAATATGGGCATGGAATTTCGGAGGAGCTGAAAATCCGAACCCATGATCATTTCTAGGAAGTCTGAGGTGAAAAACAAGCAGATATTTATTTTTTTGTTTGTTTAAATTAAACTTCCAGAACCATTGGATGGCACAGAGAAAGCCTAAACCCAAGAATGCCCTGACAAACACAAGAGCAAAGCTCGGATTTAGACTCCTCCTGAGGGAAAAACAAGGAATTAATTCATTTTATTTGCACCTGATCACCTTTGGGGCCCTGGATTTGTTTTCATTTCTTATTTGCTAAGCCCTGACAGTCACAGGGACACCAGCAGTGGCTGCCCACTGGATTTTGTCCCTGGGGACAGCCTGTGGCTCTGCCCCTTTATATTATAAATATAAATCTGCTCTATAATAAACCTTTTATTCCTCAGAAAGTCACAAACCCTGGAATTCTTGCCATCTCCACCAAAATGAACCCGTGCAGATACAGGTACAATCACACAGTGCTGGAAAGAGGGTAAAATTCCTAGGGTTTGGAGCACCCAGACCTGGTTGAAATGCATGAAATAAACTCAATTGGCAATAAATAAACCCAGTTTGCATTTCTGCCCTCGGGGTCTCGGCCCCAAACTCTCCTTGAGGAACGAGCGGGGAGCCAAAGGCAGCTCTGAGGGGTCCATGGCTGGTGGGGAACAAAGGAAAAGCCAAAACTGCCCAAACCCACGGGGAAAAGCAGAATTGCTGATTTTCTAGGAATGGTTTGGGTTGGAAGGGAAATTAAATCAATCCAGTTCCAAACCAGGGACACCTTCAGGCTGCTCAGCCTGGCCAGGGATGGAGCAGCCACAGCTGCTCTGGCAATTCCAGCCCAGCTCCTCCCCACCCTGACAGGGAACAATTCTTAATTCCCAAAATCCAACCAAGACCCAAATCACACTTTCTTCCCTGTCACACTCCAAATCCTGCACAGAACCAGGCCCTGACACCACAAATAATCTGATTTTTCATTAAAAACCTTCCAATCCCTTCTTTGGGACACAAATCCCACTCTCCCAGGGAACAATTCCTAATTCCCAAAACCCAACCAAGCCCCAAATCACACTTTCTTCCTTTTCCCTTTCCCTGCACAGAACCAGGCCCTGACACCACAAATATTCTGATTTTTCATTACAAACTTTCTAAGCTGATGGAATCCCTCTTTGGGACAGAAATCCGATTCTCCCAGGGAACAATTCCTTCCCAAAACCAAACCAAGCCCCAAATCACAGTTTCTTCCCTGTCAGACTCCAAGCCCTGCACAAACCAGCTTTACTCAGGCCCTGACCACAAATATTCTGATTTTTCATTACAAATGTCCTAAGCTGATGGAATCCCCTCTGTGGGACACAAATCCCACCCTCGCAGGGAACAATTCCTAATTCCCAAAATGCAACCAACCCCCAAATCACTTTCTTACCTTTCTCATTCCAAACTCTGCACCAGGCCCTGACACCACAAATAATCTGATTTTTAATTACAAACATTCCAATCCCCTCTGTGGGACACAAATCCCACCAGCCTGAGGAGCTGTGCTCCATTTTGGACCTTCTGCGAGGAAAATTAAGCATTTTCAGAGTGTCTCCAGGTTGTCCTGAGCTGGAAGGGACCCACCAGGACCATCAAATCCAATTCCACAAAACCCAAGGGCAAATGGGAGCTCCAGCACAGGCTGGAACCTTTAAAATGCATTTGGAAGATGGAAGATGGAAAAGAAGATTTTTCTTACTAAAATTGCTGCAGATACCAGGCTGGGACAGGCTGCAGGTGCTTCAGAGCCAGGATTAGGAGTCGAAATGGTCTTGATAAATTGTAGAAATGGTCTGGAAGAAACAAGAAAAAAAGAAAAACACTTCAGGAATGGGTGAATTGGTGAGGCAGGAATAATCAATGACATGGTCATCAGGGAGATAAATACAGGCTTGAAAGGGTGGGGTTTGGGAAATCTCAGGATTTCCAGGAGCTGGACATGAAATAGTGCAATAAAATAAAACCCAACGTGAAATAGTGCAATAAAATAAACCCCGATATTTGCTGTGATGCAGAGACAAAATGTCCAACAAATAAACAAAGGGAACTCTACATCTCTCTGGCCCCACTAGGTGCTGGTGTTGGACATTTCAGTCAAATCAGAGATAAATTCCCAATGAGGACAAGGAGAATGATCTGAGATGGAGGGAGAGAGCACAGAGGAAATCCAGAGAGGAAAATTAGATTTGTGGCATTTTTATGGTTGGACATTTCAATGAAATCACAGATAAATTCCCAAGGAGAAAAATCTGAAATGGGTGGAGAGAGCAAAGACTGAAAATCCAGAGAGAAAAATCAGTTTTGTGGCATTGTTATGATTCGACATTTCGGTCAAATCACAGATAAATTCCCAAGGAGAATGATCTGAGATGGAAGGAGAGAGCACAGAGTGGAAATCCAGGGAGGAAAATCAGATTTGTGGTATTATTTTGGTTGGACATTTCAGTCAAACCACAGATAAATTCTCAAGGAGAAAGATCTGAAATGAGTGGAAAGAGCAAAGACTGGAAATCCAGAGAAGAAAATCAGATTTGTGGCCTCATTTTGGTTGGAAAAGCCCTCCAGGACCATCCAGCCCAATCACAAATCGGCCCCACCATGGCCACCACCAAGCCATGTCCCCAGGTGTCACACCCAGGGGTTTGTTGGGCATTTCCAGGGATGGGGACTCACATTCCCGGCGTGGGGATTGATTTGGAGTGAAGACCACAGGGAGGACTCACCCTGCTCCTCAAACCCAAGGGACACAACACAAGGGAAAATCGCCTGTGGGGTTTGTTTGTTGGGAAAGATGAAACAGGAAAGCCTTATAAATATGATTGCCTGGCAAAAGATTTTGAGAGTATGGAAACTCTAAGTGAGATTGAAATGAAAGCAAGCTTTGAGATCCCTCAGGTACTGAACAACTGGAAAACAATGGCATGGCCAGCTGAAGGTGATCCCCTTTGGATCAAACAATCCCCTCTGCTTGCAGACAGGCCCAAGGCTCAGAGCAGACCCTGCCAGCTTGGCAGAAGGGGCCCAAAGAGGAGTTTTTAGGGTTTAAAATGTAACCCAGTGTGGTAATGTAATGATTTTTATAGTAAATACAGTGTACATATATATATATATATATATATATATATATATGAATATAATATAATATAATATAATATAATATAATATAATATAATATAATATAATATAAGTAACTATAGTTGTTATAGTATGTAATGGTTATATATGTATCTTACAGTATGTAAATGTTATATACTACTTTTATCATATGTAAATGCTGTAGGATTTGTATCTTGTACTAAATTGGTTAGTGAGAATTAGAATATTCATCACAGAAGAAGATTTATGGTATTGTAATGGGAACCTCGCTCTTTTTCCCTCTTACTTTTATTCTTTGCTCTCTCTCATCCTCTTTACCACTCTTTTTACCTCTTTTTCCCTTTTTCTTTTATTCTTTCTCTCTCTCTCCCTCTTTGGGCCCTGCTCTGAGCTGTGGCTGGCAGCTCCCAGCAGGGCCCTGCACCCAGGCCCTTTGCAATAACCCACAAGTTCCCAGCCCTGGCTGCAGAGATCTCTGCTCTCTGTCCATCCCCACCATCCTACCCCTGTCACTCTCACATTCACAGCCCTAAATTGCACCAGACACCCCAGGAGGAGTTCCCTGAGTGGGAATTCAAGGAATTCAAGGGGTCTCCAACACCTGGATCAGGGAATTTAAGGCACAGCCCACGAGGAGGTGGCTTTACCTTGGACTGCCAATTGTTTTTCTTTCCAAGGGTAGAAAAACCCCTCAGGAAGCAACTCAGTGGCTCAATTACACAAGTTAATTAACCAAATTAACAGCTCCTCCAGCACATCACCCACACAGGCAGAGAGATCTGTCTGCACAGGGGAAAGAAGTAAAATTCCATCAGTTTTGTGGACAAGAAACAGAGATTGAAGCAACCAAGACGTGCCAACAGCACCCAGAGGGTGAGGCTCAATGGAGGGGGAGCCCTGTCCTGTAAAATAATCCAAAAAATTACCCCTTTTAAATAGAGAAAAGTTAAAACTATTCAACTCAAACATCTGCAGGTGCCCTTCACGTGACAGGATCTCAAAGCAGATTTGTTTTTGCACCAATCTGCCTTCCCACGGAGCAGACAAACCCTTCCCTTGCAGGTGGAAGGCTCAGCAGAGCTGCTCTGATTCCTCAGCAGGAACCAGGCTGGGGCAGGGGGCTCTGAGAGCCTGACAGGATTTTCAGCATTTCCACAAAGCCCAGAAATAGATCCAGAGCAGGCTCTGCTCCCCCAGAGCCTCCCTGGGCTGGCAGAGAGGTCCCAGCTCCATTTGGGGACAGTTTAAGCTGGGCTTGTAACCAACAAAATCATCATTGAGCACAGCTGGGAACAGGGAGGTTCTGGAATTTTTTCCAGGGATCTCAAGAGGTCAAAAGGAACCTCCCAATATCACCCTGGGCACAGAGAGGCTGCCCCTGGAGCCCTGGCAGTGCCCAAGGCCAGGCTGGGCATTGGGGCTGGCAGCACCTGGCACAGTGGCAGGTGGCCCTGGGCTGCAATCAGCTGCCATTGAAGATCCCTTCCCACCCAAACCACTCTGGCATTCACATTCCTGAATCCAGGATGGAAACCAGCACCAAAACCCATTGCAGCAAATGGAGAAAGGAAAGGAAAGAATGATTTCCTGGCTGGTTGCAGGTGCCCCCAGTGCCATTTGCCACAGGGGGTTTGTAGGCTGGCAAGGGCTGGTTAGAGAGGTTTGGGCTGTGCCAGGGTGCCCAGAGCAGCTGTGGCTGCCCCTGGAGCCCTGGCAGTGCCCAAGGCCAGGCTGGAGCACCTGGCACAGTGGGAGGTGTCCCTGCCATGGATGGGATGGCACTGGATGGGATTTGAGGTCCCTTCCAGCCATAATTCCATAATTCTGTGATTCCCCATCCTATAGTTTGAGTTTTGCTTCACTTCCAGGGATGGAGCAGCTCTGGGAAATTCATCCCAGGCCCTCCCCACCCTCCCAGGGAACAATTCCTAATTATCAAAAGCCAAACAACGCCCACATCACAGCTTCTTCCCTTTCCCACTCCAAACCTTGCACAGAACCAGGCCCTGACACCACAAATAATCTGATTTTTCACTACAAGCTGATGGAATCCCTTCTGTGGGACACAAATCCCACCAGCCTGAGGACCTTTTGGACCTCCATTTTAGACCTTCTGGACCTTTTGTAAGGAAAATGAAGCATTTTGAGGGTGTCCCCAAGTTGCTGTTGGGCTGTTCTGCCCCCAGAGCCCCATGACCTCTCCAGGCCTCCCCAGCCACAGCAGGATCTGGAATATCCATGCTTTCCTTGGAAAATATTTTCAATATTTTAAAATACTTTCAATATTTCAAAATATCAATAATATTTTCTGAAAATATCAATGTTTTCCTGAAAATCTGGAGGGGAATCAGGACTGGGCTGCTCTGCCCACAAGGAGCAGCCACATCAGGGGAGTTTGGGGTTGGATTCAGAGGACCAAGCAGTGGAGATGCCAAAAATTCCTCTGGGCAACCCCAGCCTGGTGGGGAGGAGGAATTCCTTCCCCTGCTACCCAGGGAATGGGAAAAAAAGGGAATGGGAATGGTAATGGGAAGGGAAGGGAAGGATCCTGAACCATTCCATGATTCCATGATCACCAAGCCCTCACTGCCACCTGGCTGTGGAGAGCCTGGGAGAGCTCAGTGCCAGAAGAGGCTTTTATCACAAGGGAATTTTCATTTTAATAACAAAAAAAAACCCAAAAACCAAAAAAAAACCAAAAAAACACTAAATCAGCATTCCCCTTCAGCAGCACAGTGAGAGCTTTCCTGGCTGCAGCAGGAATTTCTGCCCCATCCCTCCCTGGTTGCTGAGGCTTCCCCAGCCACAAACACCGATGGGAATGACTGCTGGCCTTGCTGATGGACAAACATCCCAACATTTCCTTCTGCATTTCTCTGGCAAGTGGAGCTCCAGCCTGGTTCAGGAGCACCCTGAGAAGCCCCAGCCAGGCTCCTGCTGCTCAGCTCCAGCTTAACTGGGAGCCATCAGCCCCTCATGGGCTTAGAACAAAGAATTTTAGGTTAAAAGGGAAAAAAAAAAAAAAAAGGAGCAGTGCAGGCACTGGAGATGAAGCAGCTTTAGAACATCTTTTATCAGGGCAGCTTCCGCCTCCAGGCTGGAGTTAGACATTCATTTACCGGCCAGATATGAATTCCCAAAAATTCCTCTCTCCCCCGCCCGAGCCAGGGCAGGGTGGCAGCTCCTGGGAGCTCCTCCAGCCATTCTGGGGCTGCTGGCACTGCCAGAGCCAATGTCCAGCCTGGCCTGGAACAGGGGAAAGGGGGGATGAGCATCCCCTGGGGGTCAGGACACCCCCGGAGTTGCCAATCCCAGGAATCCCCGCAGAGCTTGGAGCTGCTGCTCTGAGGAGCCACAGCACAGAATCCCAGAATTGTTTGGGGTTTTAAAGGAAGGGACTTTAACACTCATCTTGTTCCATGGCAGGGACGCCTCCCCTGGTGGCTCCAATGTCCAGCCTGGCCTGGGACAGCCCCAGGGATGCAGGGGCAGCCACAGCTGCTGCTGTCCCTTGCAGGGAGGTGACAATTGGGGTTGCATCCCGCCCTTCAGCCCAGGTTTGACAGAGACAGCACCTTGTGCTCTCCTTCCCTCATTGAACCTGCCTGGAACCTCAGGATTGCCTGGCACTGAGGGACATGGGGAGGATCTGCAGCCTGACAGGGCCAGAGGAGGAGATTTGGAGGAGAATCCAGAG